TGGTAGAAATGACAGGATCATTATAGATCTTCGCATATTTTCCTAACGCCCAAATTGCAAAAATAAATTTATAATTTGGATAACTCATGGCACAAGTTTTATTGGCAACTCCTTCAATCGCCTCTTGTTTCCATTCGCCAGTTGACAATTGACGTGACATTAAAAGCTATCGTGAATAGTAATAATAATGATTATTAATAATTATCAACAGTGTCGTTAAAAATTAATAGAATAATTTATTAAAATTGAAATTTTACCATCACGCCACGGCGGATGTCATTCTCATATGGATATCTGGCATACATTAAAGCAAGTAGCGCCCATGAAGTATTTACAACTTGTGATTTTTCGTGTTGAACATATTCTTCCAATTCACATGACTATTATATTATTATTGTTATTATTTCATTGTTATTATCATAAATGAAGAATAATTATTATTGTTAATTCATATATAAAATTACTTCTTACTTTATATGATTCACCCCATCCACCATCTTTCTTTTGTTTTGTAATTAAGAATTTGCATCCTTTCCTGACGCTTTCACTAAAAAAAAAAAATTATTCGACAACATTAAATATTTCTATAATATTAATCACCCAATATATAATGTTTACCTATTTTCATAAGTCTCTCCAAAATTTGCTAAACATTCAATTGTGAACATGGCAGCGTAGGTGAAGCAAATACCCCATGATCCATACCAACTTCCATCAGCACGCTGTGAATCATGAATATATTGTATGGCTTTCTCACAGGATTTTCTACGCATAAAATAATTCATTATCGTTATTAAGTAATGTTGATGCAAAATAAAAAAAAACTAATTAATTAAATTTTATTAATAACTTACTTGATTTCTTCTGCACGATAATCTGGATAATACTTTGAGAATGTACTGAATGCTGTTAAAACACACGATGTACACTCGGGGTAACTATGATCAGTCATAATAGCATTTCCAAATACTTCGGAGGGATTTAACAATTCTAAAAATGACGGTCCACGAATACTTTCATAACTTGAGAATCCTCCGTCTCTATTTTGCATGCTTAATAAAATATCTATAGCTTGACAGAAACGCTCTTTGGATATTAGTTTCGGCATGTAACTATAATAATTATATTTTGTAAGTAATTAGCGATCAAGATGTATATTTAAAAATAATAAAATATAATAATAAGAAGAAAAATACCTCAAATTATTTTGTAGATTGAGAGCTGACTTTATTCCTATAGAGGTACAATCAGATACAACATAACCTTGATCACGAGTACTAAATCCCCAACCTCCTTTAGTTTTGTCTCTGTAACATCTTGAATAATTTTCAGGATCCTTTTTAAATTGAGAACGATCTATAAGCTTTAATGATCCTGTCATTGATTTATGAAATGCTGGATCTTCTGCTAATCCTATAAAAATATAAATTAAAATGTATAAATAATATTATTATAAATAATAAATAATAAATTAATAATTTACCAGTATCCATCAAAGCAAGAGACATAAGGGCAGTGTCCCATAATTGACAGCCATTAGTAAGATTTGCAAACATTCCTTCAGAATTTATCCTACAATTAATAAAATATTGTCATGAATATTTATAAATATAATTATAGATATTATAAATAATATATTACCATAGATGATCAATTATTCTTTCTTTAGCTAATTGGAATTCCTTGGAATCTGGACCTTTTTCATGATAGGTGCAGAGAATGTGAATAGATTTGCTTATCTATAATCAATAAAGATTTTTTAGTGTAAAATATGAAAACCGAGAAAATTGAGTTTTACTTAATTATTGTTGACATACAAGAGCAAGGTCAAGGTAATCCGTATTAATATCTTCACATTGTATTAATTCATAACTTTCTTGAAGAGCAATATCGCGAATGCCAAAGAAATTTGGAATCTTTTCATAAATCCTTAAAAAAACTTTAAAAATAATTTTAATTGTGAGTTTATTTTTTAGGAATTTTTACACTTGCTACATTTTTGTGTCATAAAGCTTACAATTACAAAGGTTCAAAAGTTTTGAATGAAGTAAAAAGAGATCGACATCTGTAACATTATCCCGTGCCCTATCCCAACTTATTGTTTCATAAGGTTGTGTATATAATTCTTGTCTCAACTGTATAATCAACGGTGTTTCTTCGGCACTAAATCTATGACCATAAATATATCCCATAGGGAGGTAAACGGATCGTGTATGAACCCAATATTGAGATGGATGAATTGGTAAAAATTGAGGAAGAAGCCTACTCATTAATATCACATAAAATTGGATATAAATTCACGCAAATTAGTGATAAAATCATAATTAAACAATCAGAAATAAAAATATTAAAAAATATCAAATACCATAATTCTGGTGGAATAGGATTAACTCCTTCCCAATCATAAACATTTAAGCTAGCTAACCAGAATTTTCCCCAAAAAGGGATACCAGTAGCTCCTCCTGAAAAGAAAAATAGGAAATCAAAACTAAATCGAACGAATTAAAAAAAAAAAAAAAAAAAAAAAAAAAAAAAAAGTCACCAAATTCATGTAAAGTTGATCTAGCTTTAACCATAATTGGATGACCTGCATCCACTCCCAAAATCCGTAGTACAACATAATTCATTGTTGTTCCGAAAACTGTTGAATGCTGTTCCATATGTCTTATAATATTATTTAAAGAAAACAATTAAAATAATGAAAATCTAACATTATGTTACTTATCATTTAAAGAAAATAATGAAGGTAATGAAGATAACAAAGTAGAAAAAAAAACAGTAGCAAACTTACATTCCCCATCCTCCATCAACGGGATGAGCTCGGTTAAATAAATATCTAATCATTTCTATTCTCCAACTTTCTGGAATTGGTATTCGGGTGATATACATTGAAAATATAAGCACCGGGGTTAAAAACATTATCCCTCCACATTCTCCTGCCCAAAAACCATCTTCAGTTTGAAGTTGTTTAAAGAATTTAAATCCATTTTTGGCTGCTTCTGAAGCTTTAACTGGTTTAATAAATTTCCTTGATTTCTATGATTGGATTGTTAATTAGATCATGGTTAATTGATTGCCTACGTTATTTATATCAACTAATAGATTTTTTCAAAGGATGAAGGTTCTTATTTATATCTCATACAAAAGGTAAGCCAAGCCAATACTTTTCAATGGTAGATTGAGGCCAATTCTTAATTTCGGATTCATTCTCTAAGTAGTGCCACGTTTGCCTTCCATTATTAACTTCTAATCTCCATCTTTTTAAGTCTGTCCATTCGATATCTTTGTTTATTTCCTTCATGTGTCTCGAAAAA